GCGGATGAATCCTTTATACTCCAAAGGATCGCCTCGGAAAGTCTGAATCTGCGACTGGGGTAGCAGAGTTCTCTTCTGTTGAGTTAACAGTGCTTGAATAGCTGTCAGTTCTCGTTGCGAATCGTCATCGGCGTTCGCAGCTGAGCCTTGTCTTGGCATTGTCTCTTCATTGAAGACACTCGCGCTCATCTCAAGTGCCTTTTCTCTTGCTTCAGCAAGCGCAATTTCTTCTCGCAGCTGTAGCCTCTCTCGTTTCATCTTAAGCTCCATTTCTTCACGAAGAAGTCGTTCTTTTTCTTCGAGTAGAGCTACTTTGGCCTCTAGCTCTGCCCTCTTAAGAGTTTCTTGGGCTCTTTGGCTTGAGGTAGAGGAACTTGAAAGGAGAGACGTATGTGACACTGAGCTTCTGCATTCAATTGCCTCCGCTGGCTCTTCGGCAGCTAGAGCTTTCTCCAGTCTTTCTATCAGAACAGCCTTGTTGCCGCTTGTCGACAGGCCTCTTTTTCTGAGTTCTTCCCGTAGGGACTTTGCCGTACGTAACGGCAGGTCGTTTGGAGAGTCAGCTCCCATCTTCTTATGTACTTTGACTTACACTTGCGTCGTTTACGTTAAATGATGCAAAACCGCTTTTGACTAAATGTAGGCGCTGGATAATGCTTTACGGGTGGCTTGAGCTGAGTGATTTTACTCTGATTTATTTCAAACTAAAGTTGATCGGGATGTCGTAATATTTCGGCATTAAAATAAAATATAAACTCAGGCACAAAATAGCACACTTCACACCGGTTCTTATCACCGTCTTTCTCACAGGTTCTTCTTTTACGCACACATTCTCAACCACAACCACCGTCAAAAGCGATTTTTGGTCCGCGGCTACATGAAAGGCTTATCTTATTCTACACTAATTAAACTTCAATATCACTTAACTTCTTCCTTCCTTGCCTTGCGGTTTCGATACTTATTTTCAAAACCTTTGTTCTAAACCTATTTTACTTGTTCAAAATTATTTCTGTCCTACTTTTCTACTTCAGCAAAATTTTATTTGGTGTAGCTCGTGCCCGTCACGAATGACGCCGCCGACATAGAAACGGCATCTACAGTTGGTATCCTATTGGTGCTACCACTGATGATTCTGGTTGAGCAATGGATATTTGGTTGGTCCTCCTCTGCGGGTGTTCACGTTCAGGTAGTGAACTGAGTTATTGTATACGCTCCGTGTTCGGGTTGTGAAATGAGTTATCGTATACGCTCAACGTGAGCTCCTCACACAATCTCCTTTCACTGCTCAAGACTCTTGAGTCCCGACACACCGTATCTTCCCCATCACGGCCTCTGTGTTTGTCTGTCGGCCGAGCCGAGGGCAGGCATTGCCTAGCTGTGAGTGCTGGCGACGTCCCCCAACTGCTGACGTCGGCAGTCGAGCGACGAACAATGTGTCATGGCAGCAGTCACCGCGACAGGGACAGCCTCACGCCGCCGCGTCGGGGCGATATCATAAATAATGGCACGCCCGGCTGGCGGGCCCGGTCGCATGTAAATTGCCACGCCTCGGCGGCGTAACAGATGATGCGGCCGTGCTGTTATGAATACAGACAGGTCGCATGTCTCTGAGAGTGTCCGGGCCTGCCCACACCCCAGGCGACACACCCGGGGAGCGGCACTAGCTCCGGGATACTCCCAAGGTTCTGGGACAATCGACATGGATCCGGAGTCCGGAACACTCGTCACGGCTTTGGCGGAGTCTCGCCTCCACCCACGCGAAGTCTTCACGGTTTGCAGCTTTTCTTTCTCGCTCTTCGTGATCTCTGGTCGGGTCGTGGCGATCGGTGCTGGCGGATCTCGCCACCCTGGGGACACCATCCCCTTCTTTCAGAGGCACCTCCCACCCTCCTGGGGAACCTTATAGTCTCCATTCTCCATTCACCAGCTCCGGCTTAGAGGTCGTGACGCTCCAGTCAAGGCTGGCGAAGGCGGAACGACGGGCTGGTGGGGGCGAAGCGAACTCGTGCAGACTGGCTTCAATGGGTTTCGGTTCTCGCCGCGAGGACATCCCAGTAGTTAGCACCCGTTGGGTCAGGGTCGAACTGCGGCGTCTGGGTGTGACGAGGACGAGGTAACAACTTGGCGGTTCACTATTACGTTATCTATGACTCACATTACATATGTCATCTACATGGTTAATTCCAACTTTCCACGGCATTGTCCTGCTATATCATTTTTCTATGTAGCCAATATTCATATCGCGTCGCCTGGTCACTCCCCGATCAAACTCTCACAGCACTCACCAGCAGCCAGCTGATCCATGACTCTCCACCATAATGTGACTGCTCCACATTATAGGTGATTATCATCCTTGGTGAACAAGCTGCACTGGCCACCACCCAGCCATCAATGTCTCTTTCTGGATACAACTGGTTAGGAGTAACGAAGTCAAGCTTCGTGTGTTTTGCTAGTGACACGACAGAACTGCGTCTTGGGGTGGCGACTGGCGGATGTTATGTGTGATGGTTACTGTCGACTGCGTGCCGTGTGGTGTAATGCGTCTAGCTTCGGCGGGACTGCCTCACGTCCCTGGGTCACGTCACTCCGGACTGCGTCACTCTGTTGACGCTCTGCGGCGATCGCAGCGCAGTGCGTAATGCCGCACAGCGACGCAGTGTGGTGCGCAGCGCCGGCCGCCGCTGACCCGTTAGCCGCAGTCGTGTTGCGCCACTAAAGACAGGTGTGCTGACAGACGAATGACCCCACGTGGCCCAGAGAGCGCGCAGTGTGGCAACCGCGGCGGGGCTGAGAGGGACGCTCAACTCATCTTCACGAGAGGAGCTCGCTGAGTTTTACGGTGGCCTCGCAGAGAAGAAGGGACATCTGTCGAGGCTGTTTCCGAGCAGATGTAAACATCAGCTTCCTTTTAGAGATGTTGCGATATATTTAACATATATTAATTTAACAGATTCGTAGATATTTGTCGGACGGCGATAGCGATAGGAGAATGCAGTTATGGATCCCATTAACAATTAGCTCTAGGATCGAGCGGCTTTCATTTGGCTGGCAAGATACACAAACGATATGATAAATCACAGCACCGCCCCATAAAGACGGACACAGGGCGGAACAAAAAGCTCCACCCGTGTCCACGCCACCGAACACAATGTCGACAATGGGCCTCCGTTTAAACAGCGGCGGGCGCCGTGAAACAAACGACTTCCGCCTCCCGTTCTACATACATTTGAATCTCAATCAAGTACTTTGGATGTGTGGTCCGCTGGCCATCTGCCGTGCAGTGGTCAGTTGTCGGAGGTGCGCCTGCCTCTCTAAGTGGCAGATGTAGCAAGACAGCAGTGTGTCAGTCATAAGGTCAATAGGAGTTTCATGTCTCGGCCGGCTATCGAACCAATCGCCGGGTCAACTCCGTGGTATGCCATAATTTCATTGTCTGACTGCCCGACCGTCTGTCTGTCTGTCTGTCTGTCTGTCTGTCTGTCTGTCTGTCTGTCTGTCTGTCTGTCTGTCTGTCTGTCTGTCTGTCTGTCTGTCAGTCTGTCTGTCTCTTTCTCTTTACCTGCCCTCTTTCTCTGCCCTCTTTCTCTCTCCCTCTTACTTTTGACATCACGGCATTGACTGCGCGCCGACCGTTTCATGAAACACAGGCCTAACAAACTGTTCGTGGGCAACAGTTGCAACATCAACAAACCATGACATCACACTCTGCTGCCATCGTCGTCCTCTCGATCGGGCCAAACGAACTGATGACACCGCTCGTCGTCGGTCATATCTCCAGTAACCACCTACGAGGCACCTCGCCTATCCCCGTCGGAGCCGTCACGTGCGAGCCGTTGACGGCGGACCGAACCGTTACCTCGCCGTAAAGCGGCCGCCGCCGCGACTGCTGGCGCTCGATACGGCGGCGTTTATGGGTTGACGGCGCCATTACTGGCGGCACGGACCGACTTTAATTGCAGCCGTACACACTGCCAATTTGTGTTGGTCGGTGCCGTACCGGCAGGGTGGTGTTATGTTATAAATAAACTAGGCTTTCATACATGTTTGATACATTTCCTCACGGATCAGATCGACTCTGCCGAAGCGAAAAAATGGCCCGATAGAAGCGGACTAAATCAGATTGGGAATTGTTCGTCCATTATTGAAGCCTCAATGAGCTAAACGTACTCTCATCGTAGGGCTTAGGCAAATGCAGATGCTCTTATGCAATCGAGAAAAGGCGTTAGAAGTCTGCGAGATGACGGCGGTGGCTGGATCGGCTCTCTCCCGTATCTGGGTAGTGTGTGAGATTCACCTCGAGTGCCCCCCCCCCCCGCCCACCTCGTCTGTTGACGGATCACCTGCCGCGTATGTCAGCCTCTGGTTGACAGATCAGACAACACACGCGCCGCGCTATCACCGCCACCTGTCACAGAACCCATGACTGATGACTGATGGTCTCCCTCTCGAGTCTCTGGCGGTAAGACTTCTGATGCGACTTTTTTTCTGGCTGGACTCGGACCATAAAATCTTCCATCACCCGTCGAGCGAAGCTCTAGATTGTTCAGAGCTGCGTCGTTCGTTTTGCCACGCTTTTGCGCAGCGCAGCCCGTAGCAACATTTACGGCGTCATTCGACCGAGTCGGTCGTGCCAGAAGCTTCCCGGCTGGCCGCGCCGACGCTGCGTCGATTTGGGCACGTCGACTGCGACGCATTTGCTTCCATTTGGTGTCGGTGTGTCCCACGCGACTCACTTGGGGCAGACTTGACCGGAGAGTCCGGGGTAGGTGACCATTGATTGTCCCTCAACGCGCCGCTGTGACATGTCATGTACATACGGACGAATGGCTCCGTCACTAGTTGCTGGTCAGTAGTCATTGGTCACTGCTCAATAGCGCCCTCTCAATTTATAATTACGTTGCATTGTTGTTCATACATGTAGAATTTCCTCACTTGTTAAAACGCACCCTCATTATGAGAAACGTCGTGCCGTTGCTGATAACGTCTATCCGTTGTTGCAGGTCACGGCACCATGACGTCATCGGTGCTCGGTTCGTCAGAGGACGGCTCGGAGCGGCAGGAGGGTGATCGACCCCGTCTGGGTGACCTGAGGTCACACATCACCTGTGTCCTCTGTGCCGGGTACTTCATCGATGCGACCACCATCGTCGAATGTCTACACACATGTGAGTACCTCATCGGGCTTGATGGTGCTTCAAAATGTACTGGTTAAGACTCTGATAAAGTTTATTCCTAATGCGAGCAAATCATAGTTCTAATGAAATCGGCGCTCATTTTTAAACACCGCGTTAAGGTGTATCAGCAAGGGATTTCGTCAAACACGGCTTCGCCACGTATGTTCCTCTCTGTTAGCGCCATGGCCGCCGGCTGCCTGCCATCAGCGGCACGTGTTTGCCGTAGGTTCACCTTCAGGCACGTGCTGGTGACACGTGTGTTAGCACGTGGCAGGCGGGGCGCGCCATCAATTTGGTCCGGGCGCCGCGTCTAATGTTAGACCGGCGCGTCTGCTGACCGATTAGCCGTTCCAGCTGCAGTGGCTAGCTGCGACCAATTATCCCGCCCCACTCTCTGAGAGGATAGAGACCTCCTCTGTGCACCCGGCAGCACGGCGGTCGACTGAAGGACTTTCCGGCATGTCGCAACCCACCAGGAAATAGCTGATGTCCGGGCGGGTCTGGGTCACCAGGCTCTATTTTCAGCTCCGGCTGAACTTTGACGCGCGCTGAGCTGGTGATATGTGACGGCCTGTGTCTGGTTTCAGTTTGTCGATCGTGTATTCTGCGACATCTGGAGGCCAGCGCGTACTGTCCAATCTGCGAGGTGAAGATTCACAGGACGAAAGGCGCCTCCAGTCTCAGGTAAGGACAAAAGACGGGTGATAGTGATCATGGCACTGGAATGGTTACAAATTAGGGGAAGTTGGGGGAACGCCGAATACTTTTTTTCTGACGCCCATAGCACGCAAGGTAGACAACATAAGCTATTCTTGTTGGCGTCATTCGAGAGGCCAGTCTTTTGTCTTTCAAACATACCAGGCGCATTTGATGAATTCGCATACCGTTAAGCGCAAAAACTAAAAATATCAAAGAACTGACTTTTTCGGCATTGCCCCGGACTGCGGGAAAGCCGAAAATGGGATAAATGATCTACGAGGAATGCCGACATTGATGTTTTGCCAATTTATCTCAAACTTTATCCAAAATTCATCAAAGCTGACACGCGTTTTAAAGGGACCCTCCCACCTTAACATTAGATTTGAGTTGAGATAGCCAAAATGGGGTCCCTGGCTCACAATTACCGGTTTCGGCACTCACAACATCGAGAAATGCCTTAAATCGGAAATATTGAATTTCAAAATTGCAGCATTTTGATTCAGAGGGGCTAATGCATAGGAATACCCCTCTGAATGTGTGACGTCATCGCAGATATCTAACGATTTTTAAATGTTTGACTAAAACGTTTTGTAGCACGCGGTGGTATATGCTGCTTTGCGCGCAACAAATGCCGCACATTCAAATAAAGTCGCTAGGAACAGCGGAGATCCCAAAAAGTAAACAGAAGTAAAAGTCTAATATCTTGAAAACCGGTGAATATTTTTCGATGGAATTTGGTAGATATTCGTTTTTGCTCTTTCTGAACCGAGCGACATCACTTTCATGCCAATTCATTAACTTTTTTGAAGGTGAGAGGGTCCCTTTAAGAGCTTTAGGACGCTTGGTGCACACTGGAAGTTATAATTGTGTGATATAATAAGAAAATGCCAGGTAAATCATTCCTTAATGGTAACAGGCCGTTGTGCCGGCTGAAAGTGTAATTTGTTTGACTAAAAATACGCGTTGCTATTCTACAGCAGTGAAGTCCACGTAGCGTGCTTTAACGTGCGTAATTGCACGTTTTCGGCATTACCCCAGCCATCCATACTTTCATTTGCAGGCCCATAACTTCTAAACGTGCTGTATAAATTTCAAATAGGCAGCACACTTATGCAAAGACATGCTGAAGATTACTTGACCGAATTGGCCAGACAAACGGTAGCATAATGAGTAAGAAATGCAGCTTCAAAGGCGCATGTAGTACAAGGGAAACGTACCTTGAAAACGCTTTTGGCGCCCTCACAGCCGAAGTATTCCAAATGACGACTCGTAACAAACATGCGATAATTGTAGTCACTTAAGCTTCAGAGCATCACTGAGACGTGGCATCTATGTCGTACGGTTTTAGAAATATCTCGAATTTCGGCTTTGCCCCAACTCCGGCATTGCCCCAACTTCCCCTATGGTTTGCATTGCAATGCATTCAATGCAACTATTCTTTTTGTCCAGCTTCTTGGCGACAGACTAGCTATGAATGAGGATCATTTAATGTCCATATCACGATTTACAAATTGCGACATAGAACGCCCTAATACCGACAGAGAAGACGTTTTATTGCCCCAGCACTTCGTCTTCATGGCCGACCGCTACATTTAAAACGACGTGGTAGGCGTCACTCATGATTACTATGGGTCAGACAGGAAGGGATGTATGTGGGGAGAAGGGAGGGTGATTATTATGATCGTCACTGGCTGACGGTTGGGAAAAAGCCTCCCCCACACCCTCCGCTGTCGGGGGGGGGGGGGGGGGGGCTAACCGGATCACCGACTGAATTGGCACAGCTTATAGAGGCGGGCGAGTGGGCGGACTATTGGACCGAAACACACGGCTTTCAGACATGGCTTAGAGCTTACCGGAACAGCTTTGTTGATTGAATTATCGTTTGCTGAGAAAACGTCAGATGGCTAATTCGACCACATTGGTTGGCCTAAATACGAAAAGTAGATTACCTACTCAGGAATCCCCAGCTATGAGTACAAAGAGACATGGAGTAAATAATAGTATTTACTATCGCAAAGCTTCGCCTCTTTGTCGAAGAAGGGGCGAAAAAAAATGTATCAGCATAAGTGCACAGCTAACAGCTTCTGTCAAAGGCACCATCCGCCATTCCGCCACCCTGTTGAGCCATCTTCTTAATCTTAGTTTTAACTTTCAAACATCGCCCTCAAAGTTGTTTCATTGTCTAACCGTTGAGCCTGACTTTCGTAAAATCCTCTCAGTTTTCAGCTGAGGTGTCTCCAAAGTTTTGCCATTGTCTATTGAGCCGTCGCGGCCGAGTCTGAAATATGTGCGTTCGTGAGCCACCGGTGCCATTTCCGACAGGGTCGTTAATTGGCGCATAGGCTCGTGCTGCGCAATCGATCAGCTGTAAGCTCCGCTGACCCGCGCGCCGAGGCAGTTTAAGTGCTGCCGTGATCATTCCTGATTGTCGGTGATCTGTCAAACCAACGCCTGATTGACAACTGACATCACGACTGTCAATTTCACTGTCAGTTACAAAGATTGGTCCACTCAGCAACAGGAGCTGTTTTCCTGACCGATGATCGGTATCATACGACCGTTTATCATTTCTGAACTATGAAAGCCACCTCACATAACCGCAAAATATGTTGTGAGGTCTGCAGACTGGTGCAAAGGAGATATCACGCTGAAAATGTAGCGGTCTCGGAAAGGTGGATAAAACTTAAAAGTGACGGATGCCGTTTCAGTAACAGTTGAAGCATTGGCAGGCATGTGACAGATGCTGACGAGGTAATGGTAAATTGGTTTAGCACTCGCCTCTTATAACGATTTGCCAAAAATTGATAATTACAAAAATAATTACTGGAAAGAGACCAGTGTTCATGGCGAGTTTTTTATTAGAAGCGCTGTACGTGATATACGAGCGGCGAACCGATGAATCGGTTGGTTCTCACAAAGGGTGTTTTTCCGCATGATTAAAGCGATAATTTTCTTTTTTATAGTTCTTACTTTCCGTGTCTTACATCAAAGCCATTAATGTTATAGGAGATAAAGGCGAAGAAAGACGCGGCCTTGGAACGTTTCCCACGTTAAGCTCTCAGTGATGCACGATCATCTGATCCGGTCGCAATGGCCCTGCTCAAGAAAGCGGTGCTTAAACTCACAGGTTGAATCTGAGTTTTTCGGCATTGTTAGTGATGTGGGGCCCTGGCTCATGAGTCACGGTTTAAGTCAACCATCGAAACATGCTATTTATGATTTGAAGGTTTCATTTGCTTCTCGTTGCACACAATGATGTAGCTAAATCCTCGAAATTTTCGTTCCAAATTAAGCCCTATACGTTACGGCTCATGTTTCACATTCTGTCACGGGTTGTGTCCTCACAGTCACGTTACGCGTAACGGTGCACAACCAACCAGTCCTGTGACACATCTGTTCTAAAACGAAACCTTTATCAGACACCGGATCTTCACGAGCGTCGACCGACCAATCAGCAGAGGGCAGAGTTTTTGCGCCGCTGTTGATTGGACGTTCGACTGACAGCGCGTCTGGCGGAAAGAGGGCTCCCGGCAGGGGAAAGGCCGTGATGGGACTGAGTAAAAACAACCGGATGAGTTGAGAAACGCTGCTTAATGTCTCCAGTCGCTTGGTTAGGACCTTATATAATTCCATACAAAGCCGCGTGTATGGAATTTGCAATTAATTCGATGCTACTGAAAAATTGTAGCGGTCTTGACAATAAGCAGAGGTGCTGCAAAATGTGTTCTCAACCTCAGGTGTAAAGTTTAACCCTATCAGTGGCAGGGGGGGGGGGTTGTTTTTATCCACCCCTCAGGTTTTTCGGGAATATCTCCGAAACCGCTGAAGCTACTCGTACGATGCTGAAATTTTCTGACTTTTCCTAAAACTAAATTGGGCACATTCCCTGAAAGTTTCAAGTTCATACCTTTACCAGGGGCGGCTCCAGAGCACTGGGAATTGGGGGGTCCTATTCGTGAAGCAAGTCATTTAGGGCGAAGATCACGATGCTGATGTATTATAACTGTATACACCATTTTTACGAACATTGAATGAAAGGTATCATGTGATAACATATACAAAGTTATTGTGCATCCTCTTTTTTGACACGTTTTTGCTATAATAGGCGGATCCAGGCGTCCAAAAAGGGGGGTTATGTTTTACCTCCCAGCATAGGTGCCCTGACACCGCCTATGCATGAATAATACAATTGTAGTCGTTTTCTCATAAGAAAATTGTAACATAACAAGACCATTGCCACCCTTTTTAGAAACAGTACCAACAAAAACCTTATTTACTATACTTTTTGTGTACCCCCAATCTCAATTATCTGTATCCGCCTATGATTTTTGAAAATGCATATTTTTAGCATCCATGTGAATTCTTGGTTCATTCTCTATCGATCGGCAAAAGTTGCGTTAAGATTGGTTCAGAAACCTGGCCGTGATAAACAGTCTAAAATGTATCTGCAATTTGCCCGTTTTTACCCCCCTCTACCCCCCCCCCCCTATTGACATTTTTAATTTTTATTTTTTAGAAATGTAGATCACGTTGAGCGAATTCGAATGCCGTTTGAATTTTGAAAATCGGCCCGTTAGATCTCGAGATATCAAGGGGGGGGGTCGTAAACAGCCCCCCCCCCCTGCCACTATAGTCTGTTCCATTCCAAGTTTGCAGCCGAAGCGCTGCCCGCCATTCGCACGTGGGGAGCAATGAAAAATCAAGGAGGACTTTTGCGGAGTTCCTGCGGCGAAAATACCCGGCGATATTTACAGGGCCTTACCCCAGAATATTTTGAAGACACGTGTGCCCAACGTTTTCCGTATTTTGTGTTAACCCGCGCCCTGATGGGGGGGGCCATTTTGCCCCCCCCCCTGTGGTTTTTCTTAAATAGCGAGAAAACGGCGGCGCGCAGCGCCGCCAAATTTTGGGTACCTTACCGGACATCAATTTGACACCTTCACACAAAATTTCAAGTCACAGGTCACCTCAGGTCAGGAGTTATTGAGGTCAAACTGAGGTCATGTTCGAGTAAAAATGAGCAAAAAAACATGACATCTTGAAACGCTCACCAATTCTACAGTTCACAAGCAATTTTAAAGTTCTTTATGTGGTTGTGTAGAGAAAAAACGGCGCTACAAAACTGCTATCTCGGATTTTTGAAATTTTTGGATTTTGACCCCCAAAAATCAAAAAAATTGATTTTTTTAGAAAAACTCTAAAAATTTCCAAAAAATTTTCGAATTTCGAAAAAACCGGAATATATGTGATAGTCCCTGCGCTCTTTGATATACATACCAAATTTTAGATCGATATCTCTTTTTTTGGCCAAGTTATAGCGAAAAAACTGTTAAAAATTGATGACGTCAAATTTTTGAACTCAATTTTTAGCAATTCTAGACCTCGTAGCGCAAAACGGAGACCACCATTGAACTCCCCGTGACGAGCTGCATCGAATCGATACCCATTTTATGCAAAAATATCAACTTTGAAATTTGACCTAATTTGACCTGACCTTGACCTGACCTTGACCTGACCTTGACCAAAACATGACCTAAGCTGGCCCTAAAGTCTGTCTGACCCACATAATCGCATTTGTCATGTAAAATGGACCATAAAACATGTATCACACGACACTTTCATATTGTGACCCCCCAGTGACCTGACCTCTGTGACCTGACCTGGTATCAGTGACCTCAAATAGCAAAATATGTGTTTGAAGAACATTTCCCCATCGATGATTTTCAATGAAATGCATTTTACACGATTTTACAACGCATTTCTTGAAATGCCTGTAAACGGTGAAAATTCGACCTTTGACCTGACCTGTGACGTCATCGGTTTGACCGAGGTCAATGAAATTGGGTCACAAGGTAGTTCCCTGTTGGGGCTATCCAACACCGTTTACCGCTTGTCGCTATGTTGCGTGGTTCTCGAGATCTGAGGGGGGGCCAAAATGGCCCCCCCCCCATCAGACCGCGTTGCTCGGCAGACCCCATCTGGGCGCGGGTTAACCCTGAAACGCAAAACAAAATTGAAACTGTATATTTGAACAAAAAAGTGATCTCGCAAGGCATCATCCTGTCGAGCAGCATTAAAATCTGCCAATCCAGTTGTATTACGTGCTAGCCTCTGCTTGGCGTAAACATTTTTATTTCGTTTACGGCTATGATAGATCAGGTCGTTTGAACACTTTGCCATAAACAGCACACCACTGACAATATTTAGTGCTGATATTTTTATTTCATCCGCTTTTGTTTTCTTGCAATCCGTCCGCAGACCGACCTCGGGTTATCAGCTCTCTTGGAGATGTCATCACCATCTCAATATTTTTTTTCTTCTGATTGCTCCGCTGCTCCGGTCCGGTGGCGCATAGGCGACGGCAATACCTAGGCGGACTTTGCACCTAGGCCAATTTTCAGACGCCCGTCGCCTCCACTTCTTGCGGAAAAATACGAGCACATCGTGTGCCTGTGTGCCTGTCCGACTTGTTTGCTATCTGGTGACCGCACCGCCCTGAAGTGCGTACTGATTTTAGAACATTTTGAAAAGAATAAATATTAAATACAAAATTTACATATTAACAATTAAGTACATATTAATTGATAATATAATAGCCGACAAAATTGACGACATTGTGACTGTTGAAGAGCGTCAAATCAAGTCTCAAATGCGCAGCTTTCCAATCCGTTGGCGCATTTGCATAAAAAGTTGCACTAGCGTTGTTCACGTGCTGTTATGAGTGCGGCGCTTCGGCTGCAAACTTGGAATGGAACAGACTATAATAGGGGGTAGCCAGGAGCCTGCCACTAATAGGGTTAAACTGATTCCTGGCGCTCGTTAGTCGTCATGCATTGCACAATACGTATTGAATCACCACTCGCATTATTTCGGCTAATTTAACGTTGGGGTACCGTAACGCCACGACTGCAACATATCAAGATAAATAAGGAATCTAAAAGCAGGAACAGTTGTCTAATAATGAGCAACAACGAATTGCTTCACACCATGTCCAACTACTGAGAGAATTACCTACATGTGCCGTCGATACCTCTCCGGGCAGCCGCAGTGCTCCCAGCTCGCGTGACAGGCAAAAAAAAAAAAAGCCGTCGAGGTGACTGGTTAGCGGCCGAGTGACGGGCCGGCCGGTCCGTATACCACAGTCGGTCTCACGAGACTGGGTCACGCTCGTCTAGGAAGCGGCTGGTCGGGGCGGCGGCGGCAGGCCGAGTACGGCCGGACTGCAGAGCGAGGCGCGTGCCACTGCATGCAACTCGTGAGGAGTCCGCCCACAGCCGGAATTCAAATGCATATGCAACATGTGCATGGAGATTGTTAGAGGTTGTGTAGTGCATTCATCATGAGCTGTTCACAAGTTACTCGGAAAATACAATCAGCACAGTAAAGTCAGCGAGGCACCCTTTGCTGAATTCCCTGAAGGACGTCGTTGTGCCGCAGTGCATTCACCGATACCAGTTTTGGCTGCAATGTTTGCTTGTTAAGTCGTTGACGTATGTGCCTTTAAACTCATGGAAGCCTTCATGTTCGGGAAACTGGGGCACCAGCCAAACACGGTGAGCCCAAAACCAGTTCCTGAGCAGGTTGCACTGACCACTGACTCTATGTATTGTGGATTCCAGGGCCGACGGCATCCTGCAGACGCTGGTTTACAAGATGGTGCCGGACCTCTTCACCCAAGAGATGCAACAGAGGAGGGACTTCTACGAGCAGAGGCCCTACGCAGGTGAGTTCGGCCCGGATGAAGGGGTGGCTGTCCGCCGCAGGTCTGCCGTCACCGCACAATCCGCTCGTCATGCCTGGCAATAGGTCTAACTGCGATAGCGGTACGTTTGTGACGGCTGCTGGGGTCCGTGTCGAGGTCACGTCCCGCTGCCGCTGCAGGAGCCTGGCGCGGCGTGAAAGGCGCAGGCGCGGCGCGCGCGTGTCCAGGGAGGCCACCCACGACCTCTGGCACTCACACCCTTCAGATGGCTATCTCACCAATGGCCAATTTATGAGCTGTCGGAGCCGACTGAGGCCTCGGAATGGCGACCGGCGGCTGCGGGGGGCTGCCGTCTGTGTTGAAGGTGCTGCCAAGACAGCCGTCATGTTGCGGTACAGACAATTCAGTCAATAACTTAGGCACACCTTCTCCAAGACGCATTTTCTCCGGTGGCGCATTTCTCGTAACTGTCATGTGCTAATTGGCTCATCGGGGTCTCCTCTATGTGTATGTGATATTTTCCACTTCTTAGTTGATTTTCCACTTCTTAGCTTCGAGAGCATGTCGTTAGCCGCTTTCTTGGCGCGACTTGTTGTGAGGGTATACATAGGACCGAACTTCACGAGACGCCAGGGGCATCCCTGGCGCATCCCATCCCTTCAATGGACATCCCTTGACACGACTTCGCCGTATTGCCCTCCTGCACAGATCCACTGCGCTTGCTGACTCGGGGGAGGAAAATACAGCTTCATAGATGGTGCTCAGTACTCAGTAGCTCGTTCGATCTCAGTTCCAAAACTTCTGACAAATAAAGTTATTGGTATTATCTAAAAAATACATAGTTCCTCAAACACGTTTCGCCAGGTCCCCAAATTCCTTATGCATCCAAATATCGCCCCAATACTCAGCGAGATCCTTCTATGGTTCCTTCATCTACATGCGCCGATATTGTCTGTTGGAACTACATAATGTTGCACCCCACTCTACATACTGCTAACCCCCCTTTCCAACGACAACTGTCATTTAAACTCTCTGACCACACCATATGTCTCGGCTGAGCGCGCACTTATCGGTCGATCTGATACGTGAACAAGACCGGCAAGACCGCGCTCAGAATAAATACAGGGGCACCGCTGCTTGAGTAGACCGCACGTGCACAGCGGGGAACAGGGGCGGTATTTGTGAGAGGTCTCCGGCATGTCCTGTAGACGGTGGTCTTGCATAAACCGCCTGAGATGACGCTGTGTACACGTCTATCTCCGATGGCGGCAGCGGCTTAGTCAGCAGTAAATGTATCAACCTGCAATGTAGCACGATGTTCTGGTATGTATATGTTTCTCCGCGCTCGAACTGACACAAGCCGCAGACGGTAGGATAGTAGAGAAGAGACCTCCTGGATTGTGATGCCGCCACAACACGTCACTTTTGATTGCAGTCCCGTCCTGGGCGGTCCTTGCCCCTCGCCTTCCTGGGAACGCGAGGTGTTCCGATCGATAAGCAATAACTGGCAGCAGGGCCGATAATAGCGTGTGCGTGGCGCCGCGCCCCTCCGACGGAGGAATGGGCGTGTCCACCCGAGGGTCTGCTGAACGAATGGCCACTCACCCGTGAAATAGCCACGGCCGGAACGGAACGAGTAACTCCCTGCCACGTAAGAGGGGAGAGGCGATGCAATATTGAATACACGATACGAAATGCGTATCGCTGTGCGAGCACAGAATACGTGTCAAGCCGGAGTGAGAGAAGAGGGGTACGCTACTGTCATTTTTCATCTTAATGCATCGCGACTTGCTGGATTTTAAAATCATATTTTGAAGAAAATTTGGTTCCATCAGGAACTGCTCTCCACGGAGCTGGCAGTGCATCCACAAACGGTCGCCACTGCAAAAACTATGTTGTATGATGGTGTTCTGTTCGCTGAGTGGCTTGCTAAACTGTACCACACACGAAGTTTCTTAGCTGCTGCAAGCGTTCGCACTTTCTCATGTGTCTCAGGCCCTTTACCGTGGTGTGTTTTGTGTGTGTTTCCAGACCCGGAGCTGCCGAGCTGGGCCAAGGGAGACGTTTCCTCCTACGTGCCTCACGTCTTCACCCCCGACGAGCCCCTCCAGCTGCGACTGGCCATGTTCGACGCTAACAGGTGAGTAGTTTGACTGTTTTTTTTTAAATTTTCGAAGAAAGTAAAAAATACACACCATTTGTAACACAAAATATGTAGCAAATGTACGGCATAAAACGAATGGATGTGCTTTGATGCAGTAGCGGCGGAACACCTTCAAGTAAGGGGGCACTGCCGACTTTTGGTCCCATTCTTTCCATGCAACGCCCATAGGGCTAATGTTAAAATGCCAAAATCAAAGGGGGCACGGTGCCCCGGTGCCCTCCCCGTTCCGCCGCTATATGCTTTGATGCCATACAGAAGCAGAAAACGACTCAGTTCAAGGAATGCTATTTGAACGAGTACTTAGCCTTGTGGATGTCGGGAGCGATTACACCAATGGAAACATTTTTTTTTTTAAATCAGTCATTTAATTGGGACGGCTATCGTAGTATCATACACCAATGATAGCTATATGCAATTTGTTTTCGATATCCTGCGACAGCTCTCTGACATAATATTCCGTATATATTAATCGAAACGTTTTTCGAAACATAAACTCAGAGCAGCCCTACAATCCCGAGTGCCCTCATTCGACACATCACGCTATACCGTGACCATGAAGCACGCCATTCACAAGTACACCACACTTCCGCATGCCTTCATTTGGCTCCTTCAACCGTCAGCTAGTTAGCTTATAGCTACTATAACAGAGGCGTCTCTTGGACCTGGCTACCGTCCCATGGTAGCTTCGTGTATCGAGTTTTCTAGCTCCGCAGAGTCCTGTTCACACGGTGACAGCTGACATTCTGGGTGCTGCGCATCGGTCACGGTAAACACTACGGACCTATCGACCCGTGCGGTTGGCGTGCAGACGGCCGGGTCGTAGGGTTCGGTCTCCGCTGCAGCTGGTTAGATCGTCATTGATGTGAGGTGGAGGCCTCCAACTGGTTCAGAAAAGTTGACACATTGACATTGGAAAGCTTCTTGAGGCGGTTATTATTTAATTTTGGCCGTGTTTAAGGGATTATTCGTGGCACTTTATGAAGTGTGTATATGTCAGAAACGTAATCCTTTCGGTGGCTTAATAAATAAGTAAGTTAATGGAAAGGTTCCGATTTTTAACGTTCCAATGCTACTTCATGCAACAACATTTAGACTAAGAGTTTATTTGGATATATTGCGTATATTGTATAAAGCTCCGTAAGCCAGCTGCATCCACCAACACAACAAAGCTTTGCCGATATACCCATGTCTTGCACTCAGCCGGGGCGGTGCGGGCCAACCTAAACCGTGTCACCCGTCGGCACCCCACTCGGCCCGGTACAGCGCCGTGCCGTGAGCTGCACTGTCCTTGGTGCGTCCCGTCACGCGGTACGTGACCTCACCGTGAGACGTGCCAGCTCTGTTCCGCGCCGCAGCACCCCGCCGCAGCCCTGAGGTCACTCTGGGACAAGTTCCGTGTCATGAGCCTCGTGCGGAAGCACGGCCTCGCGACGCTAACTAGCATTGATTTGTAACGGTGAAGTTCGCAGGTAATTCCAATGACCTTTCTTTTCTTCAGGGACGACGAGGAGAGCCCAAGTACCGCTGGCGTACCAGGTGGTGTACCTCCGGTCCGGTACCTGCGCTGCCAGGCTGGAACACCCCTCACCGTGCTGCAGAAGCTCATCCGAAACAAATATCAGCTGCCGCCTAGCATCCAGGTACGGATATCTCCAACTCGAGAAACTTCTCCATCCACCCTGTGATTCATTCGCGAAATGGCGCAGATGTCAGGTTTTGTGGCCATGAGGAAGGATAGCCGTCCGGGTCCGGTCTCCAACAAAGCAGAGCAATGGTCACCATCTAACGTAGCTAATAGGGTGTGCACGCGCCGGCTGCCAAGGCCGCCGCTGCACGACCATGCCACGTCACGCCGCCGACAATCGCCCGTGTGAATGATAATCCTGCCGAGCTGCAGTGGTGCAGTGCTGAATCTTCCGGGCCGTAATCGCCTACCTTTTGCACTGCTGAGTAGTTAAATTTCGCGGCCGATCACAGCGATTAGCAACGATCGGCAGTAATTTATGGACGGTGGCGACAGCCAGTAGTACGTCCCTGTAGGTTAAGGTGTCCGATAGACACCAGCCCCATGTTCCTAGAGTGGATTACAACCGGCAGTGAGGACCTGACGGCTCAGATCCTGGCCGCATTAGTTGTGGATAGTCGAAAGTTGCGGATATGTCATCTCCCATGAGAGCTTTGGTCGCCCCTTCCGTTTGATGGCATCACCACGTCTGATACCGTCACATGGCGAGGATCGCATCCCGTGTCGACCCGCCCTGGTCGTCCGGTGTCACTGGCATGTTCTGTCCTTTTCAGGTGCAGCTGATCAGTGGACGGCACGTTCTACCTGATGACGTCACTCTGCTGGACCTTGGATACATGGGCTACCTCGGTCAGGTAAGGAAAACTGCAGCCGACATTGTTGATAGCAGTATTGCGGTAGTTTGAGTAACTTTCCCAACCCGGAAGCTTATCCTGAAGTAATCAACAACTCCATGTTGTGATAGGAGCTGGGCGAAACAATTTGAGCAACGTTTGATCATGTAGCGTTTCTGCTGTTACTGTCTTTTTGGGAAAGCCGTGGTTGTAGATTAGCAGGTTTCTTGTTTGGACAGTGAGTGGTATGGGTAACGTGCAGGCGGTGAAGCCGGTTTGTGTTGTCGGCTAATGACCGCCACATTGATGGCGGTATGGATACTATCACGAGGAAAGTAGTGGCAGCTATTTTAATTAAAGGTTTGTGCACCGCAGCCTAACGATATTTATCATAGTGCAGCCGTATCCGGTTGCGATGCTGCCATCCTGTTACAACCACGTCGTCTTTTCTCATTTCAGAACATCACGAACTTATCGTTCCGGCTGGTTCGAGGACGAAAACGGCCCCCTGCGCCGTCAGAGCCGAGCGAAACGCTTTCAGTGAAGTGTCCCCGACTGGAAGCATCATCACCAGATCCGACTGCGCTGAGTTCAGCATGCCAGGATGCCCGACTGCTAGACTCAGTTACCAAGCATCAAATAGCGCCAGCCTCACTGACCAATGACATTACGCTCAGAGGCGTGACTTGCCTCGCAAATATTCAGCCAGAGACGACACCTGCTGACACAAAGATCATGTTGCCATCTCCTCCATCAGCGAACAAGCAGTTATTACCTGCGTCCAGTTCCATGCCTCCCCCAACTCCTACGGACAAGCTTCCTCTGCCGGCGGCTAGTGTTCCTTTACCGCCTGCAGTCACGTCACCGGTCTTCACTTCTGCCGCCGTAAAGCCATCACTCGAGCACACCTCTTCGGGTTCACTGACATCAGCGAACACTTTACCAGCACTCTCAGTTGTGGTCCGCCCAGAAGCGATGTTTGACCCTGACGATGAGGAGCCGACTTCCCCTGGGGTGGTCCAAGACATCATCGCCAGCCTGGATGCTGAGGAGGAGGGTCCGTCAGTCGGACGCACAGAAGTGGTAATATGTCAGAACGGGAGTTCGAGGTCGGGAGCAGCTGGAGCGCAGAGCTCGACTGAGGAAGCCGCCAGGAGGAAACCCGACAAAGAGGCGGAGGACCAGGCTGTGGAAGAGGGAAAGAAGAACACGACCAATGTGCAGAACGTTGAAACGAATATCTCGAACGGAAAACCACAGGAACCTATTAAAGAAGATGGCTTGCCGAGAAAACGGAACGATAACGATGAGGTCCAGATTCAGACGTGTTCGAAGTATGATGTGCCAAACAAAAAATCGACAAAGACTGCTGGTAACTCAACAGCAACACCAGTCAAAAGCAAACTGACTGAACAAGCTCCAGTTAACAGTGAGTCTAACGTGCTAAACAAAAATAACGGCAGCAAACCCATCGCCGATGCTGTCAGCGTGAAAACAGATCAACCAAGCGTCCCATGCAATGGACATGCTACAAGCAAAAGCTCTGTTGGTGGTTCGATCCCAAGCCCAAGTGGCACAATGAGCTTTAGCGTTCCACGTCATCCATTCAATGGAGAGGTATCGGGGCGGACACAATGCCACAGTGGAGTAGACGAACGCCGGTGCGACACGACCAAAGGTTGCCTTGAGAAGGAGCTCAATGCCAGAGCGAGCTTGAATACTCCCAGGGCTAACAGCAGCACTCCACAGTCGCCGACTATCCCCACTCCTTCAGTCATCGGTTCTGGTCAAGCGCCCTCGTTGTTAAATGGTGCGGGTCAAAAAGTTCCGAGCAAACACATCCATAGTGGTGCACAGTTACAAGCAGCCACAAAGATGTCAACGACTTCAACCGTAAAGGAGTTTTTGTCGGAACCTTCCACAAAGCCTTCAGAAGCCAGCGACAAAGGCATGCGGAAGGAGGCAGGACCGGCTTCAACAGGACGTATGGCAAATTTGCCTTATTCACTGAAGCTCCACATCCCCTCGCCGCCACTCCAATCCAACACAATGTCCTACAGGATGTTGGACGTGCCAAAGGTTCAGCACACTATTCACAACATAACCAATCCGTCGCTCACCCAGCTCCCAAATCCGAGTCACCATCGTGGTCATGCTATGATCGAGCAAAGGAATCGTACTCTCAATGCTCATGTCGCTGAAACAAAGCCAAGTGCTTCATTGAAGCGGAGCCACGAGGGGTCTGCCGTGCAATTCAAGCGCGCTCAAGTCAGTCAAGATGCCGCGGGAGGGACTACTCCTCTGGATCTCTCCAATCCATCGAAGAAGACTGTCGCCGCCGACTCAACGTCCATGCTGTACGGCTCGCCTGTGGCATCACCGAAGTCAAGTGTGCTCAAAATGAAGTCTGGGAAGAACCAGGACATTCATTCCATCGTTGATAGTCTCGCAAATCGGGAGCACATCTCTCTCACTGCGATTTCATCTAAAGCGTCCGGTCAAACACAAACTCCAGCCAAGCATTCCTCTGAGGCGAAGACTTGTGCCACAACAACGAAATCCATTCCCTCTTACCCCAAGGCGTCGAATATCCCGAGAAAGGTGGCACCGCAAAGTGGAAGGAGACATCCTGGGACTGTCACAAAGCCTCCTTATCCTTCCACACCCCCGGTCTCAGTTTCGTCGCCCATGTCCCCGCACCGACCTCTGCCGATGTCCCTTCCGATGCCGGAGTCTGCCTCCTGCTGCTTCCCTCCAGGTGGTCTCTGCAGCCCTCCCCTGCACGTAGACACCAGCCTTGCCAGCCGCCTGAGCTACGACATGGCGATGCGGAACCTCCTGACGCTTTCCCACATGGCCATGGCCCAGGGCGGCATGGTCAGACCGCCATCTCACATGTTCCCCACGCATCCCATGTTCCCTCCGCTGCACAAGGGTCACGAGTTCCACCCGATGTCGGACCCTTCCCTGCTTCGGCGTCAGTCCGAGGCCAGGATGGGGGCCTCCGCCAAGAAGGCGTCTCCGACGGCGGGCACCACGGCACCGCCGCTGCGGACTCCGACGGCACTGACGTCGGCCTCAATCCAGCACATGGAAGACCTCACCAGAACCGTTGGGAAGAGGAAGGACTCTGAGAGACACTCGGTCACGCTTACACCGATACCTTTTAAAGGCTGACGTCGGTGCTAGGAATGATGCATAGAATAATTAGAAATATGCCTATCAGGTCCCATGAATGTGACATTGAAAAGGCTGTGTCCCAAGATGCGTATTTTCGGTTTCTAATGTTACCGTGCGGATGAAGTCATTTGTGCGCTGTTGAGACAAATGCGTGTTCAATGTGTTGCCAAACATTCATCGAGTGAAAATAGTGCCAAGCACATTTTGCTGACGTCCCATTTCTGACTGCGCAATGCACTTGATAGTCTAAAGCCACTCGAAGTATTTTCTGGTCTGACAAATCGCCTATATTCGGTCACTTGACATTTTCAACCCAATATGTCGGGTGAGCACACCTTGTGCAATGGCATTTTTGGTAAACACACAATGTTAACACAATGTCGGATGTCCTGTTGATGCATTCTTCAGCGCTCTTTATGGCCAAAGCGATTTGTAGCTGTAACGATTGAATGTGGGTAGTGTGTGTTGAATGCGTTTCCGGCAAGAAGTTTGCCGAGATACTTTGTATAACGCAAAAACTGTGCACGATGACGCATCCATATTTAAGCCATGTCTCCACATTCGAAATATACACCAAAGATAGCCCGTGGTGTTTATGGTTAGTTATTTGATCAATGAAACACCTTACCGCATAGTTGATAAACCTGGTGGGAGAATGGCTTTGTAGTCTATTGCAAATGTTACAGTTTACGTCTGTTACTGTCCGGTGAAGGAGCCCGCTGGGATACTGCGCGGGATTTGTATGGGAAATGTATTTAGGTCAATGGATGGCTGTGAATGAGGGTTGAAGTGGGGATGGGGGTGAGATTGCTGTGATGATAATACGGTGATTCACTACATAATTGGCTGAATGAACTTTAAGTTGATTTACTCCGCGAATTACGTCGAAATACGATTCAATGTAAAGTAACGCGACCGTTCTTGCTACATATTTGGCGACCGTGACAGGACACTGGGCAAACCGAAATGGATAAATACGTAGAATTAGCGACAAGACAAGGCTTATCCGGACTGGAAGCTCTAGAATTCGCATCGAAGCAATATGAGAAGGATCAGGAGCGGGAAGAAAGAAAGCTAACAAGGGAAAGGGAGCGTGAAGAAAAGGAACTAGAGCGTGAGGAAAGAGAGAAGGAAAGACAGTTTGAAATAGAAAAGCTGCGACTTTTGGATGGTTCGATGGCCAGCAATGGTACAAGAACGAGTAAGAAGCTTCCAAAGCTCCCTCCATTTGAAGAAAATGGTGACATGGACATATACCTGACAAGATTTGAAAGAATCGCCCAGTCTAACAACTGGAACAGAGAGGATTGGGCGGTATCATTGAGCGCTCTGCTCACTGGAAAGGCTCTGGAAGTCTATCATCGTTTGAGTGCAGACGAGGCTGATGACTATGAGATCCTCAAGGAAGCACTGCTAAAGCGGTATGGTCTTACTGCTGACGGTTTTCGCAGACGTCTGCGGGAATCGCCTCCGGAAGAAGACGAGACACCGGAGCAGTACATAACACGTTTGTCGACATACTTGGATAAATGGATGTCCCTGAGTGAGTTTCCGACATCTTTCGATGGTCTCAAACAGTTGACCCTAATTGAACAGTTTCTATCGAGCTGCCCAAAGGAACTCGAGCTGTTCTTGAAACGAAACGGCCATAAAACACTAGAAGAAATATCCAGCGCTGCCGAACAATATCTAACGGCCAGTGGACAAACCCTGCACGGACTGCGCGCAACGGAAAAGGAGGCTATCCAGAAGCGCAGCTGGAAAACTTCGACACAGCCAACGACGACCATGCTGCCTTCTGCAGCGGCCCTTCAGGTATCGGCAAGAGCGCAAAAATGCGCGTTCTGCACGCTCGGGCATGAGACGGCACAATGCAGAAAGGCAGAAGCACTCTCGGTGGACGAGCGGCGCCGTCGGCTTCTCGCTGTCGGAGCTTGCTTCATCTGCTTAGGTCCTCATCACATTGCACGAACATGTAACAACGTGAAATGCTGCGAAAGGTGCGGAAAGCGACATCACCGCCTGCTGTGCACCGAAGAGGAAGCTGCACCCATCGTGACTGCTCAGTCTCAGGTTGAAGAGAAGGAACAAGTTCTTTTCCAAACAGCTAGAGCGGTGGCAGTCGGACCCGCTGGCAAAAGGAACGTAAGAATTATCCTTGATACTGGTTCAAACCAGTCATTTATATCAACATCTCTCTCTCGGGATTTGAAATGTCAGCGGCTTGGAACCCAGCGCAGAACGATCTCAACATTCGGTGGTGATCGCATAACCCACAAAACGATGAACTCTGTTTCCATCAAACTGATGAACTGCAGTGACCCGACCAAGTCTGTGACTCTGACAGCGGCGGAAACTGAGCAAATATGTGGCCCCGTCAACGTCAAGTCAGTGGACTTGAACGACTATCCACATCTGAAGCACCTGACCCTAGCCGACTGTCCGTCTAGGTGGCAATCAGGAGATATCGACATACTGATCGGTATGGATCACTATCAAGATGTCGTGAACGGGCAGGTGAAGACCGGAGAGAGTGGCCCGATGGCGTGGGAAACCATATTTGGATGGGTTCTAGGAGGACGTGCCACTGTGTTCTATCGGAACGGATTGAGTGAAATTGTCATTTCACCGGGGGGAGAATGTTACAGTTTACGTCTGTTACTGTCCGGTGAAGGAGCCCGCTGGGATACTGCGCGGGATTTGTATGGGAAATGTATTTAGGTCAATGGATGGCTGTGAATGAGGGTTGAAGTGGGGATGGGGGTGAGATTGCTGTGATGATAATACGGTGATTCACTACATAATTGGCTGAATGAACTTTAAGTTGATTTACTCCGCGAATTACGTCGAAATACGATTCAATGTAAAGTAACGCGACCGTTCTTGCTACAGCAACCTTAGTGTTGGAGGCAAATGACCCTTAATCAATGTTTGAACTCAGCGAATGGTTCCATGGTTCACTGGAAATGGGAATAAATAAATATTGCAAGCTTATTTATTAATGAAATGTAGAGCACCGAACGTAAAAGACAATGAGGTGATTTAGGAACTTTCTAGGCATGTATAATCTGGGTGACAGCTTGAGTCATATCTTGGGCGTCAATGCTCTCCCTGCTTGATTGCAGTAATCATCACAACAAAAGTTGGCTTGAGCTGCCAGATTTAGGTCATGTGTCATCTTTATGGCTTTAGAAGGTGTCACCAATAACTAGCAGCCAGTACAAATTACAATTATTTGATAACTTGCGAGATTGCCGATATAATATATAATATGCGAGCTTATCACCTTATTTCGACGTACAATCCTTGTGGCGCTTCAGTTTAAAAGAAAATTTATGAAGCTATGGCAAAAGTCCCAAGTCTTGATGCAGAATTGACGTGTGAAAAGGTCCGAAACCAAAGCGAGAACCAACAAATTAGTATCTGGACAAAGTTTCTCCTGGCATTTCTTTGACTCGCAAATCTACGAATCTTTGTCCGTTCAATGAATTCGTGCGGTAGATCGATTATGCGCAAGTTCCGTCTATTGGTACAGCTCTGATGCACATGTTGTCACACGGTAGCCCCGCCAAAACACCATGGATAGGCTGTGCTCGCCGCGGGAGCCGGACTCTGAGCACGTCACGAAAGTCCCCAATTCCAAAGCCATATATTCTTGATGCTCTGTTTTCAGTCCTCGCCTTAGTTTCGCGTTAGGTATAGCTGAACGACATCGAAGCAGTTTCTCCTTAAGCAGAAACTGCAGTTTCTCCTTAAAACGATTCCTTGCGCACTCCCCTTACTCACACCAAGCTAGATTCTCACATTACTCACAATTATCACAAGGACGGCGTCGTGAGGGCGCCCCAGTTAATTGGGCTTTTGTCTGACAGGGTAGTTTGTCTAATTGCTCCCCATTAGATGACGCGGTAATTTTGAACCGGGCTTTTTGTTGGTTCAATTGAACGAGCACGGCACCAATGGGAGATTAACTCAGCACGGCTCCTATTCAATTACACACTGCAGTGACCAGTCCCGGCAAGACCCTCCACGGAGCAAGTAGCCGGAGCCCGACGTTTTTTTATCTTTGTCCAGGAGCTTCGCTCAGCCACTACAGATGCAGGCAACTGGACGTTTCCAAGTCCAAACATTCCACTAATCATTGTGTCACGGCTGAATCATTTCATTCAAAAATTTCCATACTGAAATTCTCATTGCTCTTCACTTATTCATTCCTCTTCGTTTTCAATGATCCTCGATGTTTCACCTGGCTATTTGCCAGAGGTGAATTAATAATTTAGGGTTAGCAACTATCACTATGCCATGCATTTACGCCCAAGAAGATATTAGGTCACTGGGTGCACGGTAACGGTACAAACGCGGTGGTGCAAGCGCGGCCAGTTGGGACCACCATCCTCCAAATGATCGTGTCACGACCGGGCTGCTCGTATCGCTGCATTCCCCCGGCGGTGGAGCTTTCACCGACGGCCGTGTCGCAACGGCGACAGAGGCGATCGGCCGTCCGCCTCCGCTGGAAAACTGGCCTTATGGGCGCTGGCGACAAGTGTCACTTTTGGGCGCCGACTGTCCGGCTACAAGCTGTCTCTGGGAGCCGAACTGCTGACACAATCGAAGCAAAGTGGAGGCAGCCCTATCGCGTGCCACTGCCTGTTTATTATTGATTGACTGTCGACAAGGCTGATCCAGGGGTACGTCATGTCCAAAGCCGGTTGAATGTCATTTTTTTCTGGCTGCGACAAACGATAACGAGAGGGTTAGCAAAATCGAGAGAAAATATTCCATAACCAGTTAGAGAAAGGGCGTTTGACCTGCGCCATCTAGCTTTTCACGTTCTGCCGCGGAGGAGGGCGACTAAACGTTCGCATCACCGAAGTCTAGTTCTGCTTCGAGATTTTCTTACAAAAGCATAATTCGTGGAGTAAAAGATGACAGAAAGTTCACTAGCTCAATTTGATTGGAAGTAATTGATAAAAAGCTTCGTTGACCTTATTGCCGTCACATATGACGTCGTTCATATTCAACAACGCAAACATTAAGCATCTGGCATTGCAATGAGTGAATAAAATCACGACTCCATCCGTTTGATATCTCTTAAGTATGCTTAGATAAATCCTAGCGGCTAGCGCCAAAATAAATCTTTCCATATTTTCCCCATTGGCTTAGGCATGGTTTGGGCATAAAGGTGAGGTGACGTGACTGACCCGAACTCAGGTGACCTACATGGAAAATCGGAGATACTGGTAGAAGTTGTGAGGGCTCAGGAGTTTACTAAGTCTAGTAAGTAAAATTAAAGTAGTAAGTAAAGTAGTAAGTAGTAATTAAGTAGTAAGTAAAATTGTATTGTATTGTATTGTATTGTCATGTATGTAAGTCTCATCTCTCTGTGAAAGATATCCTGGCACGGAAGGCGTTCCGAAGTTGCGACACAACAGAACAATGCAAAGTTTCACTTACATATGGCTTGTTTGGCAGTGACCTAATATGCCCTGAAATGTGGTTGGTGTCACAAGATCCGGCTTGAGCCAACGGTCAGGCTCGCCAACTTTCAGCTCTCTGCGGCCAGACCTTTCCACGCAATCGCGAAA